TCAACTTCGCTGAACTTCAAAAAGCCTTGTAGTGAGCGATGCTGTCATGATCCTGTGGATAATTTATTTTCTTCAATTTTCAATTCAATTCAATTCAATTCTCTTTCCTGCTCTCTCAACAGATACAGATCGCTAGCAATTTTATCATAAGCACTTATAAAATATGATTGGCTTTTGGCTTGACTCGCACACAGCAGTTTCAAAACTGAACACATCTTAAAACATTTCAATGTCGCAGCTGCGCCAGGTTGAGGAACCGATATAGCTCAATAATTAATTGAAAATAATTGAACAACTATGTTTTTCTGGTGCTTCATGTTTCAGCAAAAGCGGCCTACAACTTTCTTGAATTAATTTAAAGATGTCAAAATTTATACAAGGAATTGTGGTATGACAGTTTGACGTTTGTGAAAAGCGATAATGTGAACACATATATATTGCACAAACCGGTTTCGATATCACTTCATCAGTGTGCAAATATATAAATAAAACACTCAAAATACAAAACGGAGACGAAATAGGTACAGCACGTACAGCAGAGCAAATTAATTTCAAATACATTCATATGACCTCATGTGATTGAGATCCCAAGACGCTTCCGCACCAAAAGAACGGCTAAACTTTTTCCCAATCGTATGTCACCAGCTTTGGAATTTACACACAAACAAGATTTTCTTACCTTTCTATATTCACTATATTCATTTCTTTTCAGCTCATAGCAGGAGAACGAAATCGGGGGTAGTGATTGGATTCTTCCTCAGAGCGATGAGAATATGTAGTCCCGAAAATCTGAAGGAAGAATGTGATCATATCACTGACGTTTTTAGAGGTTTGAGGTACCCCAGGGCATTTATAATTGAATGCTATAATAAGGCAAAAAGGATCAAGAATAGGACGGGAAACGAAACAAACGGAAAGACAAAGAACGCCATAGTTGTTGTACCCAGGTCACAGAATTGTGAAGCATTATCAAAGATGTTGAAGTGCTCCGATATTCAGATTGTGGAAAAGGCTGGGGAGAAGATTGGTCAGGTTGTAGCAAAAAAGAAAAAGTGTGACCGTAGTGAAACAAGTTTAGTGTATAAAATACCGTGCAAGGGGTGTACACAACCTTATTTCGGTGAAACGTCGAGAGGGCTTAAGAACAGGTTAATGGAGCACAAGAGAGATTTTAGGAACCACAATATTAACAATGCAATGGTGAAACATGCCGAAAAGTGTGGTAGTCTACCTGATTGGGATCGCACTGAGATCATACGAGATAGGTTAAGTAGGTCCGATAGAAAAACGGTTGAATCGTCCCTCATTGAATCTTGTTTGTGTGTAAATTCCAAAGCTGGTGACATACGATTGGGAAAAAGTTTAGCCGTTCTTGTGGTGCGGAAGCGTCTTGGGATCTCAATCACATGAGGTCATATGAATGTATTTGAAATTAATTTGCTCTGCTGTACGTGCTGTACCTATTTCGTCTCCGTTTTGTATTTTGAGTGTTTTATTTATATATTTGCACACTGATGAAGTGATATCGAAACCGGTTTGTGCAATATATATGTGTTCACATTATCGCTTTTCATATACAAGGAATTTTGATTTAAGTGGACTTAAGCAAAAAAGAAAAGAAAAACTTTATTTTATAAAGTTTAATCATTAATGCAAATGGCCGCCGCCTGTAAGGCCGCCATTATGGAAGAGATGACACGTGACGTCTGTCAGTGCTTCCGTAAAATTATGGACATTTTACTTAGATTTCATCGCGATATCATTACAGTGGTGTCTGCTATCTATCAGTGTGCCTCGTAAGTAATTATTTATCAAGTTTTGTTGTGTTACACATTTGTTTATGAAGAAAAATTGGCTGCGTCAGTATCGTCACCAATCACCATGCTACTTGGGTTTAACTGTAGGTATCAGGGATGCGGAGCCGTGGAAATTTCAGACGGCTCCGGCTCCGGCTCCGGCTCCGGAGAAAAAATTCGGCTCCGGCTCCGGCTCCGGCTCCGGGTGAAATGTCATGGCGGCTCCGGCTCCGGCTCCGGCTCCGAGTAAAATGATCCGACTCCGGCGGCTCCGGCTCCGGCGGCTCCGGCTCCGGCTTCTACTCAGCACAGCCCCTGCGATCAATTAAATACGGGTGGAAGAAAAAAGGCGATGGGATTGGTACACTTTGCTTCTGTATTTGCATAACAAGGCTATTTTGAATACCACATTGTTTTACGCCTTGTACTGTCAAACCGAACTAGGTAAATAATTGTTTCCTCTTAAGAAAAGGAGCCGGAGTCGCCCCCTTTTTTGACGGCTCCGGCTCCGGCTCCGGCTCCGGGCTATATTGTTTCACGGCTCCGGCTCCGGCTCCGGCTCCGGGCAAAATATGCCGGCTCCGGCGGCTCCGGCTCCGGCTCCGGCTCCGGCTCCGCATCCCTGGTAGGTATCATGGGCTTTGTTTACATTAATGGTGTAGCCAGCCCAAAGTGTAGCCCATCATTGTCAATTGGGTCACCACTTTTGGATCATGATAACACACTTAACCCTGTCTTGACCGGACTCGAAATGAATGACTTGAATTGAAAGAAGGTTTGATGGTTCAGGCATGGACAAGATTCAGGGTTCAAATTATTTTCCTAACACCTCATGCAGTTGACTTGAATCCACATTCCAGTAAAATAACTGACCTGAATATTTGTTAATAGTTACAAAATAAGTTATAAATGTTTTTTGCAATGCAAATAATTAACAGATTGCCTGATTTGTTTTTGTTACCTTATTTCAAAGTATTAGGTACCTTTCAAGGGTTATCATATGTCTTGAGAAAGTTTGAAGCATTTGTTTGATAATTCCCTGATTTCGGTATCTAGTCGGTATTTCCCCCTATTTCTGAAAATCGGTTCGGTTTTGGTATACTCTCAGTGGTTTTGGTCGGTATCGGTTTGGTATTGGTTTCCAAAATTTCTGAAATTGACATCACTAGTACGGGGTCGTACGGGGTCGTGTCGCAGCGTCAGAGGGGCGTCAACGCGGGCGTCGGTGGAGATACGACGCGTCGACGGCAGCCGGTCGGCAGAGTTGGGCTATCTGGGCCGCCGGTGCCGCCGCGGTCGATGAAATATCGTGTCTGGAGGGGCTGGAAGCTGCGGTGATACCGAGTGTTATATGCGGGCATATGCGGCCTGGAGGGCTGTGCGGCTTGGGATGGTGTGTGGCGTGTGCTGCGGGGCGTGTCTGGTGCGTTATATGTGTTGGGATGAATTTCAAGAGAGCGCATTGATGTGATGCTTTTTGCGGTGTGTCGTGTCTTCTGAGTAGTAAGTGGTCTTGCAGTTTTTATTCGTCTGGGATTTAATGGTTTTATTTCGATATTGCGATGCAGTCTGCAACAGCCGATCGATTGAAAATTATTCAGTGGCTGCACATTAGCCGGGATACTACGATACTCGGAGCCAGTGTATGCAGCTGCGCGTCACCATCTGGGGCCTCAGTATCGGCGCAAAACGACGTTATTATTTTTGTCCTATAGTGGCATTCCGCTATTTTAGTGACGTTATATGACATGGTCATTGTGCCAGGGCAGAAAAATGGGTCGTTTATTGTGGGCTAAGCGCCAAAATAATTCTGTTCCTGTCATACCTGTCTCGTTATTCCACAGTTTACAGCAAGACACAATGCTCGGCGCGGTACTCGCGTTGGCATCAAAGGTGCGAACGAGACTCAGCCCTAAAGGAGATTTATTCAATAGGATCAAAACGAAACGGACGTGTGCTTATGCAGCTGGAACACGTAATTGAAACAACACATCACATCCGTGAGCTTTGTCCCGTTAGAAAGATACGTATCTTCTAGGAAATGTGTCCTAGAAATTTGCATTCTAAAACCGAGAAGCATAATTAAACTTGGATTTACTCCGGCAGGAATGATTCGTGGGGCATCCACTTACGTCTTCGAGACTGATGTCGTCCTCAGCAAGAGCATTTCTTTTGATATAATAGAAATAACTTACCAGGCTCTATTTAATGCATGCCGTTTAGGGGTAGGTCAGGTTCAGATCCTATCATGTTTTAGAATGTCTTCTTTTTACATCTTAAACATGGGAATATGTGTGTGGAATACCTAAATGTTACTATTTAAAATGATTGCTTGATAGCAATTCCTACGCGGAGGCAATATCCGATGGGTTTCAAACTAAGCCAAGGTCAAATCATTAAAGAATAAAGCGCTTCAAAAGTCAAAACATAATAAAGCAACGTGATATAACCATCAATACTGACCAGTAACCCGACAGTACACAGAAAGTCCATTCATTTCGGTACCGCAAACCAATTGCGCCTGTGTCGAATTGACCTGCTTGGTATGACCCTGGGTCTATCATGGCATATTGACTGTCCCATGCTGCTGCCAGAACTGATTGCCAATGCTGAGCATGGCCTCGTAATGAATTCAGAATAAATTCCCTCGGCTTCGGCTACTTTCTGAATCGCCTGTATATGGCAAAAAGATTGCCTACAAAGCAATGCACTCTACTAGTTACCTCGCTCAGAAATAATTTACTATCACAGCAAAATTGAAGTGCTGGTGGTTAAAGCAATCTGCCGAGAACCAATATTATCATTATTTATAAGCGTTTCGCTCAAACTTCAACGTTTTGGTGCACACTGATCTGTCGTTAGAACACCACTGTCATGTAAACCAGTAGCAGCAAGTCACAGTCAGTGCTTTCCATTTCGCAGCACAATAACCACTCAGTTCAGAAGGCCGTCTCATTCGGCTCGCCATTTGGCGGCTTAATGACGGCACCACGGCTGGGCGAGCGCTAGTAAGCTACGCTTCATGCACCGGGGTAATGTTCCCGGCCAATCTGCATTGAATGAATGGTTGGCTCATTTAAAAACAGCAGCCGTCTCAATCTTGCAATGGAAGTGATTTATGGCATTGATTGGCTGTTTATGGCGGACCACGAGACAGCACAGGATTCCACCTGACTGAGAGATTTGACCGGCTGATGAACTCACCTAATGGGGCGCCGATGACAGCAGTGACGAGCGTCAGCAGCACGATGCAGCAGGTTCTCCACATGTCCCTCTCAGTCCCCACACAGCGGGGCGCTCCGGCGAACGCCATCTCAGTCCAGGCGCAGCTGCCGTCCGTGGTGACACTCGGTCAGAGGGCTGCGCTGTGGCACATCACGAGCAGCACACACACAGTCCTCGCACACCCTCCCCCGAGCCGTCCAACCACTTCACTGACCGCCTCCTCCCGAGCGCCGAGTCGGTACCGCACCGGCGACCGTGGCGCCGCGCGGCGGACAAAATCGCAACCACTGCCAGCCGGCCGCCGAAGACGCCTCGCGGTCCGGCGCGGCGCACAGTGTGGCCAAATGCCAGATTAGCGCGAATTTAATCAAAAAACGAATTTTGGAATTTTGAATTTTTATAACTATCAGTCGATAGGAAATTGTCCAAAGTATGTCAATATCACAATACTTTGGTTCAATGTCTTCCTTTCGGTGTTCAAAAAGCTAGCTAAAGTGGACCTACGCAATGCCGGTCCCGGCTGTGCTGAAATCGTCGAAAACCCGCGTCATGTTTACAACACATTTTGGCGTAATTGTCGGAAAGGTTTGGAAATAATTGGAGCGGCATATGACTACTGCGCCTATATTTGATAGTATACCCGAATTCTATAGGTATCCTTGGACTAACCGATGAGTTATGCTCATTTGAAAATGACCTTTTCAAACATCCCCTGAAAACACTGTCCATCTTAAAAACGTAGAGATATAAGAAAATGGCCAAAAAACTCCACGCCAAATCTACCATGAGAAGATTCGCCACACTTTTCTGGACATGATCCATTCAAGAAACCCTGCCCCAACCTGCCCCCCGGCCTTTGGCTCAGCTTTGAACGTATCGGGTTGGCCCGCCCGGGGAGGTCCGGCTTCAGGGTGGGCGCGGCGGCGGCTCCGTAACGTTACGCGGATGGCTCAACCGCTGTATTTCTGACTTGTTATATTGCAGAATATGGTCGCCAATGAATAAATCTTGACAATTTTTCAACCCTCGCCCATGTAGGGGGTGAGGGTGGGGGTCGAAAGGACCCCTCTCGGTTTTTCGCAAAAAGCTCATGTAAAAAGCGGCCGATCGCGACGAAATTTTCAGTACCCTCGAGTTTGTCAATTTTACACCTACCCATTAAATTTCACGACCCTGACCCCAATGACCTTTGACCTGTGACCTATTTCTCGAGACCATGTTTGGCCGGAAGCGCGATTGGGCGTATGTTTGCTTGCATTAGCCGCGCGTTTGCAGTCTTTTCGTGGTTTCAAGCGTCTAAACATGTGATATTATCCCGCGCGGGGCTGGGGTCTCCAGCCGAACGCGCGGGGCTGGGGGGGGGGTAAATTTTACCCCCCCTGTTATCTCCCAAACTAATGGTCCGATTTGGAAAATTCAAACGCCAATCGAAAGCTCTCATCACGAACTACTAAAAACATGTACTTAATTTAAAGTTTGAGGTCAAGGTCAAGGTCAGGTCAAGGGTACAAATTGCAAGTTTCTACAGTATCGGCCTTGCACCGTAGTTGCCGAAGAATGGAGTCATGGACTGAGACTGATCGCCCAAAACGTGTTCTTAGGCTACCAAGACAATGTTCGTTGCATACAATATCATTCAGAGGTCAAGGTCAAGGTCAGGTCAGGTCAGGTCAGGTCACCAAAAAACAAAATATAGAAAAGGGCATGTGCGACACATGTTTTATGGGTCATTTTACTCATAGAATTCAATAGGCACACTCAATAAGTGATATGGACCACCTCTGGATGAATTTCAGGTCGAGGTCAGGTCAAGGTCAGGTCAAGTGAGGTCAAATTTTGAAGTTGGTTGTTAAGGCCTAAAAAGGTGTCTATCTGATGCAGTTTTTCACGGCGAATCGAATGGTGCTATTTTTGTTTCCGTACGAGGTCTAGTACTTCCAAAAAAGTCATTTTTCAAAAATTTTGTGTGTCGTGACGTCATAAATTTTTGAATAACTCCCACATTTTTGAACCGATTCTTCTAAAATTTGGTATGTAGGTGCACATAGACCACTTCTCTGACATATATTCCGGTTTTATCGATAGACTCAAAATTTTGGATTTTATAATGATTTTCCCAAAAAATTCAGTTTTTTGAAAAAATTTAGGCCAAAATCCAAAATTTTCAAAAAACCGAGATAGCCATTTGATAGACAAAGTAAAATTACGTATAACCTTTTTTGTTACGTCTTGATTCCTTTAAAAATGAAGATGTTAGCGGCGTTTGAACTTTTGCCGTTTTTGAGGCGAAAATGGCGAACATGACGTCACTAAAACGTCAATTTCTCAAAAAATTTCCGACGGATTTCGCTCAAATTTTCAGGGAACGTGTCAAATTGATGTAAGAAAAGGTACTGAAAGTTTGGCGGCGCTGCGCGCCGCCGTTTTTGAGATATCGCAAAAATTCGCGAGGGGGGGTAAAATTTACCCCCCCCCCCAGCCCCGCGCGGGGATGTTGGTCCCATGCATTATGGTCGGTGTCAAGATCACTTGAAGGTCAGGTCAGTTCAATGACCTTTGATGACCTTGGTTCACCTTTTTTAGTTTTACATGTTTCCAGGCTAGTTTTTGGAGCTGATTTCGAATTAAGTAACCATTTGAACATTTAGGAAGAAGTTTTGGTGCCTTCGTAACATGCAACGAAGCTGTCACTGGCGGTTGACACCTATTAATTATGAATACCCGGCAGGACTGGTTGGCCTGACCTGACCTGACCCGACCTACGTTCGCGGCTAGCAAAACACCAATACGGGCGAGGGTTAATGACATGAAGGTGCTTATGGTGTAAGTCTTTGTTTTTACTCCCATTGCTGAGGTTCAGTCCTATCGGTGCGTGTATTTCAGCAACCATCTACCGATTCATGTGCTTCACCAGGAACATTCACACAGAAACATAATCAGATGTTGATTTTTTTTCAAGCAAACTTTGGACAATCATAAGAATTTACCAGAGAAATGATGGGAATTTCGTAAACGATTCCTCCTCCTAACATGCCCATCATTGCTGGGACCCACAATTTTATGCCTCTTAGTTGCGGTTAAATTCCAGGATTTCAATATCAGAGTCGGAGTCGTTAGGAGTCAACAGTTCTGACCCTGCAGACAGAGTGGGAATTGGAATCGATTTTGGAATCCGGACCAAGACTCGTAGTCTGAGTCACCGAAAATCCATTGACTGCGTGGACTTGCCATGGGTGCGGAGTCAGAGTCCGAGTCGATCGTATAAGTCGACAGTTTTGCCCGGAGTCAGAGTTGAAATTGACTTTTGAAAGCCGTATAGTCGGAGTCGGAGTAACTCCATCGACTTCACAGCCCTGGCCTGGTAAGCACATCACCCGTCGTAAGCTAGTTCTCCTTACTTTTAGAGGCGGAACTATGCCATTATATGTCAGCAAGCATTTATAATGCATCGTAAAAGGTCTCACATAGGTTTAAGTGTCAATTTGTAAACCAGGGAACCATTTTCAACGGATCCGAGCAGCGCTGGGATTTAATTCGCGCTAAACTGGTGTTTGGCCACACTGTGCGGCGGCGGGCGAGGCGCTGGACGGAGTTTTGACTTGACCCCGGCTGAGCTGTCTGTGCCGCCGGCGGGAGGCGGGTGCGGCCCACGGAGGGCGTCACGGCTCCAGCAGCCTGTCCATCTCCGGCGGGAGGCTGCGACCCAGGGCGCGGGAACCCTCGCCGATCGGGCGTCCAGTTCACGCTCGCAGGTATTTACATTTGACGGATCTGAGCGCTCGGTTACGCCTTGGCGTCGGCCGCCGTAATCGGTTTACGGTCGATTCGGCCGGCACGGCGTTCATCACTGCTGTCACATTAAATCCGAACCGAGTCGAAAGCAGCCAGCTGTCCGCGGCAGATGCCTACCAAATTAACAAGCGGCATTTTTTCATGCGCACTAAGAGCGTGGTCGGCTGATCGCCAATGCATAAATGTATGGGCCGGCGCGGACACCTGCTCACCATTCTGAGGGGATCTGGGACACCTCTGTCCGTCAAATCACGCTCACTCAGCAGCGTGTGGTCGGGAGCGTGTCAGAGCCGGTGACATGGGCTGACACCCGGGCTTCAGCCGTGACACCGTCTGACACTCGGTGTTTAGCTTATAGCGAAGGCCAGTCAGTGTTGTTTAGCGTCAATTTGGTGGGTCTCGGACGTGACCCAGGCCTGTTAAATGTTCATCTAGGGTTGGCAATTGACACCGTATTCACGCATCCGTCGATAAACGCATGACCTATACCGTTCCAATGCCAGTCTGACACAGTGCAATGTCCACTGTCCAGTGTACGGACTGCAAGTTGCGACCCTGTGCACTGTGCAGTTCAACCCGAGCCATCGGTGAGCCACGGAGGTTACCGTGGCCGCTCCCATGCTGCCTGTGCTGCTTCCCTCCGTCTGCTGATGATGGATCGCCCCAGTCCGGCCTGTGTATACCCCGGAAAACCAACCGGCTCCAGAAAAACGGACCGAGAGACGGCCGAGATGTGTCAAATGCCGCAGAGACACTGTCTGAGACCGATGGTGCGAACAGAGCGGAGATAGAGAGCGACAGGATGGCACTGGGTAGAGACGAGAGACGTGATCAGGTAACGAATGGGACGGCCCGCCAGAACAATACCGACAGGACAGAGCGCCGACAGCTTGTGGATCTGATAGCACTAAAATGGCGTCATAAAGTCAGGGGTCTTCTCGGGGCCAGGGACTGTGACATCGCCCGGGAGAAAGTGACGACGACGGACGAACCAGCAGACACACACAGCAATGACAGGGGTTCGTTCAGCCAAAGTAAACATATGCTTGACACTCCAATGGGAAACATCAAAAGGCATTTGTCAGTAGGTACCTAAGTATCGTGTTCAGGCTTAGGTATATGGCATTCTGGCTTGTCTTGATATTGAGTATCCATGACAGGTTGGATGATGATGTAAATAATAAAACAAATTATTACAAATGCATTCAAATATATTCAAAAAGACATACAAAGCTTTCGGTTCATGGAACCTTGCACAGTGACTTGGTTGACAGTGACTTGGTTGCACGGTGACTGGAAATGACAGTGAATATTTGCACAGTGATCAAGGTTCCATGAACCGAAAGCTTTGTGTGTCTTTTTGAATATATTTGAATGCATTTGTAATAATTTGGTTTATTATTTACATCATCATCTTGTCTTGAT